CCCGCCCCCCCGGAACAGGCATCTTCGGTTAGACTCTGGCCTCCACATGCACGCATGCATACGTGTACACATGCACACACGTGCACCCACACACACATGAAGCACAAACCCACGCACACACTTCCCAGCGCTCAGAAATCAACAGCACAGTCCCATTCATTTAGTGATCACAAATGACTAGAGCTCACACTGACCGTGTGCTTGGGTGTGCGTGAGGCCCCAGATTTAATCCCAAGCCCTGAAGAATATGATAAAAAAAAAAAAAAAAAAAAAAAAAGGTGTCATGGGACTGAAAGTGGATGCCTTACTCAGAGATGTGGCCCCTAGGGGGCAGGCTGACTCCCATCATGCAAGTGGGCCCAGACCTTGGCGGCCTCACGCATGCAGCTTCAGGTAGTAGCTAAGCTGTGGGATCCGATCTCTGCCCACTCTCTGCCCCTTGCACGAGACAGGTTTCCACCCAGGTTCTCTGTGGAGAGGAGGGTTTCCTGCTAGGACCCTACTGGCCAAGGCACACCCCCCAACCTCAGTGGGGAGCAGACCACAGCAGCACCAGGCTAGAGCTCTTCCCTGCCCAAGGGGACCATTTGCATCACGTGACCTGTGGAGAAGGGCCAGAGTTAACTGTGCCCCTCCAGGGCTGCTTTTGAGAAACAAGCAAACAGCAATTGTGGGTGGTCCTCCTGTTGGCTGAAAGTGAAGGAGAGGCAAAGAGAGGGAGAAGGGAGGCCAACCAAGGAACCGCTTGTCTAGCATGCATGACCCGTTAGGTTTGATCCCAAGCTGGGCCTGGTGGCACAGGATTGCAATGCCATTTGTGAAGGGAGCTGGGGGGGAAGAGGTCCAGAGGTTCAAGGTCACCCTCAGATACAGGGTGGGCATAAAACCAGCCTGGAATAAGTGAGAAACCCAACCTCCAATTAAAGGCCAAAAGGATCAGAGCCAAGGAGGCAGGGAGGAAGGCCTGGCTCACCTCGAGCCAGGTGCTGCTGGAGGCCCAGGGGGCCCAGTCCCTGCATGGATTAGCCAACTGCTGTAGAGCAGGAGGCAGCCAGGTGCCCCACAGGTGTGCGTCCCACTCCTGCCTGCTGGGGCTTTGACTGAATGACCCAGAAGAAAAGCTCAGGCCCCCACAGCGTGATTAGAGGGCAGGGGGGATGCCCGCCCGCTGCCCCCAGCGTCTGCTGGCCACTTTGATGTGAGGCGCGTCACCTGAGCCCCACGCCCCCTCTCACTTTGGAGAGCAGCGGTGTGCCCCAAGCCCCACGGGCTTTCTTTCTGAAGCAGGGTGCCGTTCTAACCTGTGAACAAAAACCGCCAATTATCTCCAAGGCTGGAAACTCAATCTGGGCTGTCGTAGGGAGAAGAGCCTGCTCCTAGGAGGAGCCATCCAAGACCACATCAAACGACCTGCTCCCGGGGCCCAGCAGCAGATCGGGCATCAGTCCTGGTTCCCGGCCAGCCACCTACAGGTGGACATCGGGAAGCAACGAGAAGAGGGCTGATGGCCTCCGTCTGCTCCCACAGGGGACACTGCTGGAGAGAACAGCGGGGTTCCTGCTCCGGCTACTGCTGCTCCGACCCCCCTCGTGGGTGCAGTGGGTTACATGCCTACCCCGATCCCACCAGGCTACCCCGACCCACCCAGCTGCTGCCAACACTCTCCCCGGCCACCACCTCCGCTTCACGGCCCTGTTCAAACACACATCACCACTCCTACCCGGGGCGATCAGGTCACCCTGGTTGCAAGGCTCTCGGTACCACGCACGTGGTCTGTCCACAGCACCCCATGAGGGAAACAGAGGCTCCCTCTACCTCTGAAGCTAAGCTAGGCTGACTGAGGGACCAACCTCACTCCCCCTGCCCAGCACCTCTCTTGCTCCCCCCCTCTGTCACGTGTTAACGTTCACCTCGGTATAGCACATGCAAGCAAGCCAAACCACCGCGCACCAGGCCCAGAACCCGAGGCTCCCATATCCCTTCTCTCCAACCCTGTCTCCCCAAATGACTGTGTCTTCTGGTCACCTCCCATGGCACCTGGGCAGGAGTTCTCTTGTGGACCCCAGAGGTACAGGAGTGACTCTGTAACAGAGGTACAGTTACAGCAGCCACAGGGTGTATAGTTCCAGAATGGCCTGGCCCCACCCAAGGACACCAACATCCACATAAAGTGATTCCGTCCAAGGAAGTGACTTTGTGTTCTCACATCATTCTGCACACTTTAAGCCGCACCAGATAACAGCTGTAGCTCACCACAGCGCCACGGTGTCTACCATACATCATGGAGCAGCAGCAAGACCTGGGCCCACGTACAGGCTCTGAAGACTTGGATTGTGAGTCAAACCCGTGGCTGAACGTCCAGACACAGTGGCCAACAGCACTGTTAATAGTCAGGCTGAACTACCAACAGCTCTTTGAAAAAATCAGACCAGGGGCTCACACATTATCTCAGGAGGTAGGGTGCTAAGGTAAAAAAAAATCCAACCAGTGGGGGGGTGCCAAAGTGAAAAAACCCAATCAAGAGCAGTTGGCTCACACATTAGCCCTGGAGGTCCTAGAACTTACTAGGGTAGACCAGGATGGCAACTCACTCACAGAGATCCACCTGCCTCTGCCTCCTGGATACTGGGGTTAAAGGTTGTGCCACCACACCCATCTGGCCGGTATTTAGGAAAGCAAGTGGTTTGCATGCAATCTCATAGCAAGGAAGCAGCTGAAACCTCACCGTAACAGTGCCGGTGTTTCTAGCCAGTGGTTCTCACCCTTCCTAATGCTGTGACCCTTTAATACAGCTCCTCCTGCTGTGGTGCTCCCCGACCATAAAATGAATTTTGTTGCTACTTCCATAACTGTAATTTCGCTATTATTTTTTATCATAATGTGAATATCTGATATGCAACCCCCAAGGAGGTTATCATTCCCACAGGATGAGAACCCTCATCTAGACAAATGACGGTTCTCAAGGTCACTTTTGGAGGTTATTGTGAGCCCTCAGGATGAGACCTGAGCCAAGGGCAGGGTCGGATAGCTCTGCAGATGGGGGTAGGCAGTAACAGGAACAAGTAGCTAGTGGGCACTGGTCAACTGTCCCTGGAATTGCTCAAAGACAGTAAGGAGACTGGCAACCACTGGGAGGGGGAAAAAAAACGCCCAGAAGGTTTGCTGTGTAGACTTGATCCTGGAAGTACTAGGTTGGAGAGATGGCTCAGAAGTTAAGAGCAATGGCTGCTCTTCCAAAGGACCTAGGCAGGTTCCAGATCTGGCCTATAGGGGTACAAAAGGCAGGGAGACAGAGCCACACAGCCACACAAGTTCAATATGGCCTGGGATCAGGTGTCAGGGACTTTGCAGGAGGCCCTGGTGATAGCTACCGCCCAAGGTGTCCAATGTAGAAAATGAAAACGTCTCAGTGTTCGGGTTGTAAGCACTAGGCAGGCGTGCTGGTGGTCTCCGGTGGGTGTGGTCTCCATGACTCCTCAGGTCCCCTCATTGACTCCCATGTCTACCCACTCAAGCCCTGGGCTCTGCTGTGTGAGCAGCCCAAGCTCAGGGTTCAGGCCAAGGTTGCCCAACCCACCTCACAAGCTTGCTGCTGCTCTGACAGACTCGGCCTCCCATGCCACCAGCAACAGTTGTGTCTGTCATGCATGCCTCCTGCTGACCTCAGGATTCCCTGGCCATAGGAATACCAGAACCTTCACAGGACCCAGACCCTAGCAGCAGGCTCCCACCTCCACCTTCTCTCCTGCCAGCCAGCAGGGCTGTGTGTGACGCCAGCTCCATCCTATGCCTGGTGCTTCAGGCTCTACAGCGTTTGTACCCGCTACCATGAGGTGACCACAGACAACACGGTGAAGCCCACAGAGCAACCATGAAGGGCCCCCAAGAAGCTAAAACCCACACTCCTCAAACAGTTAGGCCCCACTGCAGGCCTGTGGCCACCTGTGCTGCGCAAAGCCTTCACCAGGGCCACTGGTGACTCAGCATTTGAAATGGGCAGGTCAGTGAGCTGAGGAGCCCCCCCCCCCCCGTACTGCTGTGGTTCCTCTGGTCCCCCCACATACGCTCCAGTGATAATCATCTTTGGTACCCTTACTAAGGACAGAGCACTGTGAGGAAATGACTCCCTGCACCCAGCTCAGCCTGACCGGCACGGTGACTTCTGGCATCTGGCCAACAGGCACCAGGCTCACTCTGAGGTGAGTCCTGTGAGCTGGCCTGGAAAGCCAAGGAGCAGCTAGCTTCTGGAGTCCCTGAGGCCGCCGGGCATTGACAGCGGCAACAGAGCCCATCTCACCAGTAGGTGGCGCTCAAGGCCTAGCAGTTGGGGCAGGGGAACAGTGACAAGGCTACCACACATAACTCCCCTGGTCCGGCCATAGTGCCAGGGACCAGCCCAAGCTCAGGACAATTGGGTGTGGCCTCCAATCCCCAACCCGGCCTCCAGGAAGGCAGTTTTGCAGAGGGGCAGGTCCCAAACAGTTTTCAGGACTTCCAAAAGCCCCACACTGAAGTGCTGGAAGTTGGCACCTCTCCAGCACCGGCAGCCTTAGCACTGTGCTTTTCTGAAGCTCCTTCAATTACACTCTCCCTCAGATTCCTCTCCCAGACTGTGGGGAAGCCCGGGGGCTCTAAGCCCACAGGAGCGTAGTCATACTCAAGTCCCCATTCCCTGTCAATGCCCACGGCAGATGTCACTTGGAGCCAGCCTACAGACTGAAAAGACCTCAAGAAATTTCACCACCAACCCCTGGAGTTGGCATCTGAAATGAGGGGTCTGTCTAGTGCCCTGCATCCATTGCTTCTCCTACTTCCCAGCTCCCTGTACCACAAACCTTGAAGACACACAGAATAGGGCCACCTCTGGCTTAAAAGCCCTTGTGCATGTCACTGAAGGACGCGTCTCACCACAGGCAAGAGGTCATGCCTCACAACTTGGTGCTCCTGTGCAGTCCACAACCTGAACAACACTACCCAAGAGCCCTGCGGTAGAGAGGAGGTCAGAGCAAGGACATCTCATTCTTTATAAAAACAGGAAGTGACTGGCATTGTGACCCCCCCCCAGGCACACCCCATCACATTCACGGACACCAAAACAAAGAGGTGACATTCTCCACAGGTGACACCAACCCCAAAGTCCTGGAAACCTGCTGGCTATCCTCCACGGGTCCTGTACAGGTTGGACTCACAAAGGCCACTGAGGGGCACTGATAAGCTGTGGGCAACAAGGGGAGCTGAGGCCTTCTTGCCTCCCAGCTGTGAGGTCCCTTGGAAATCAATCACTCTCTCTCCTTAGCAAGTCTTACCAAGGCAGCTTGGAAGAGCGAACGGAGGGATGCTGCCCCACTGTGCCAACCATCGGTCTGCCAACGTCACAGCGACTGCACAGTGGCTCCTGCTGAGCCCCCACCGAGGCTGAGTCCTTGTCTTGGCCTCCGTCTGTCCCTGAGCGGTCTGTCCCAGGCACCATCTTCACTTGCTTGGTATCTACCAGCTGCTGCCTGCACAGTATGGGCCCAGGCCAGCATCTCTGTCCTGCCACCCCGGCTGGGAGGTCACCCTGATGTCACCTGCAGAGCTTCAAGTGCGGGTGCTCGTTCAGCTTCTCCATCAGTTCCTCCTCCTTGGGCTCTTCTAGGATATCCCTGCAAGGGAGGGACAGTCACACGGAAGCTTCAGAGAGAGGCGGGCCTGGGCCTCTCAAGAGACTGCAAGCAAAGCCAGCAGGCAAGGTCTGCAAGTGCCCCGATTGAGGGGTCCCAACCAGCAGGTACTTTCAAAGAAAATCCGTGGCAGGACATGGGGACAAAGACATGTAGGTCCTGCCTCAGGAAGAGACAGATGCTAGAAACCTCTGTGTGCACTCATGATCACACTGGAGAGGGCTACAGAGGGATTCAATGTAGAGAGTGCGTGCAGCATGCACCCAGCCATGATTCTCGCCCTATACCCAAAAGAATTCAATGAAAAAGCCCAGAAGCCCAGAGAGCCCATCTCACACTAACTGGCATGGCTACAGCTGGCTGGCCACATCGCACAGCCCACACTGGTGAAAGGAAATGGCCATGGGATGATAGCCAGTCTTGCGTATAAGCGGAGGACAATCTCCATGATGTCACAAGAGGCGAAGGTGTGACTCGCTCAAGCCACCTGGCTGTGCCCCACGGCATCAGCCAGAAGCTACAAGACACTGGAGGGTAAAGGGTCCCTTCCAGGTGCTAGATCCCAAACACAGTACATGTCCCGGGCAGAAGCGGAAGTGCCCACTGTTGTACTATGAGCATCTCTTGCCAGCTCAGCAGCAGCCCACGTGACCGGGTGGAGGAGGATCCCTGCCAGAAGGCCCCCCTCTCCCTTCCACCACTGTCAGCTCCAGGCCCGCACCTGAACATGAGCTCCACGGACATGTGGTAGGTGATCTGGCGGGTCCCGATAAGGAGCTTCTCACCACCTTGGGGGTCCCATCTGTGGAGAAAGTTCTGAAGCAGGAGGGAGGAAGAGTGTGAGCACCCATGTGATACCAGCTTGGGAACCCAACCCCCACTGCCCAGTTTGCTGTCACAGTGCAGACACTGTGGGGAGCAGCTCACCCGGACATTCACACCCTTGAAGTAGCAGGATGTCCAGCTTCATCCTTAAGCCAGCCTCGGGTCCTGAGAAACCCCCAGACCCCTAGGGGGTCCTTGGCCAGCAGGGCAAGCAGCTCAGAGGTCCCCCCAGCCAGGCTCCCTTCAGCCTGTAGCCCTGGCTAGCAAGGCTAATCCACCAAAACTCTAGACACCTCAGTAGGCAGCCTCAGGCCTGGACAGGGGTATCTGGTACCTCCAGAAGCAGAGCCAGAAACAGGTTGACCCAGATGACACAGGACACCAACCACCACAGCACAAAGTACACTGTTGACCACCTGTGACAGACAAGGAGGCCAGGATGCACTGAGCGGGATCAGTCCAGAAGGACAAACAGCTACAACACACATCTACTGGGCCTCATTAGACCCTGCTGCTAATTCCACAACATATAGTGTAGTAACGTCCCATGACACCAGGACTTAGAAACAGCCAGAGCCACCAGAGGAAGGCTAGCATGAGGTGCAAGTGGGATTTGAACCTAGGCTCCTCTGCTGAGCTGGTCAAAGCTCTCCAAGCTATGAGCTAAATGAGCTACCTGACTGTTTCCCTAGAAATCCTTAGAAGCTCCAGGCAATCATATACCCCATATATTTCTACCACACTGTGACCACCAGGGCACAGAAGCCCAGAGCCCTGGCTATCTCCCAGTGTAGTATAGATGAAGGCTGAAGCCCGCCAGGACGCAGCTTGGCCAGCCTTCCAAGGTCAGGGACTGGTTCCCTTCTCAGTGCAGGCCCTGGGTCTCTGGCGCACCGTCCAGCTATGCTAGCACTAGCACAGAGACTTACGGGCCAGAGTAGCGCCAATAGGCATCCAGTAACACCTGCCAGTTGTTCAGCACCATCACGTTCCACAGCGTGATCACAGCAGCCTGTGGGGCAGCAGAGGTAGGGTCCAGAAGGGCCAAGGACAAGGCAGAGGGGCGACCCAGGGAACAGGGACCGGGGCAAGGCGGGGGAGGAGTCCCAGGGTGAGCTGGACCGGAGGCCAAGGCAGAGAGGACTTACAGCAAAGTCGTCAAAGTTGTTGGGCCAGTAGCCTAGCTGCTCGAAGCTCCCACATGGAGCTGAGCTGTTATCAGCAGCCAGGCTGGAGACACAATAGCCCTTGGTCAGCAGCTGTACAGGGCCTGCACGGCGGAGCATTTCCCCACTCCTCAGCCCAGCAGGGACTCAGGCCCCAGGGAAAGGGGCAAAGGAAGATGCCACCCCTCAGCCACATGGGGAGAGTTTATGACATGACCCAAGAGGCTCCCATCCCGGAACCCTGGACTTCAGGTTCTGAAGAGGACACACTGCCCCCAATCCCATGCCAGTGATGCCACAGGAAAGACCCTGGGGGAAGGGGGGAGCTGTGCTCGGGAGACCTGAGGCGAGACACCTACTAGAAATGTTTAAGGGTAATGCCCTCAGCAGACAGCCCCTCACCTGCTGTTTCCAGGAGGCACAATGATGCCTCGGAACAGGTCGATCCCAATTATGGCAAACACATAGTATGCCACCTAGAGAGGAATGGAGGATGAGCCGCTGTCAGTGCGGCCACAGCGACAGGCTGAAGCCAGAGGAGGCAAGGCAGGGGTACCACAGGGATGCCTATGCCCTAAAAATAGAATCAAGGAGGCCAGAAGCACAGAGCTACCTCTTCAGGGGATCTGGGTGCTACCCAGGTTCCACAGCTGTAGGCCTGCTACCACAGACGACCAGGCCCTCTGGCCCCGGCAGAGGCCCAAACACGTCTCAGCTGCTGTCTACCATACACAGCTACAAGCCCTGAAGTATGTCTACAAAAGAGCATCCCCCAAATCTCAAGCTTGGGCCCATAGGGGCTCGTGGGGCCTCTGGAAAGGCCATTTGTGATTCCCTCGCTGTTTTTCACTGTGGTACATGACCCAGGGGTCATAAGGAACCAGACAGTAACAACAAAAACCCTGTCACAGAATGGTGACAGTAGCCACAGGTCCTTTCAGGAAGGGAGGGGCCAATGAAGTTGAGCATCCTGACACTGCTCTGGATCTCCTCAGCAGAGGAGAACCAGGCCAACCACACCCCGCTCGGGCTCCACAGAACCAGCCCACCCAGGCCACCACCAGAGCCCCAGGCCTTACCACCAGGATCCCACCAAACGCCTTCAAGTTCTGGATCAGGCCCAGGATGGTGCTGGCTACCAAGGCCATTGGCTATGGGTAGGAAGAGGGTTCAGACTGACTCTTCCTGCCCCACCCTCCACACACACACACACACACACACACACACACCACACCCTCACCCTGACCAGTAGTATAGGATGGACCAGCAAGCTACTCCATAGCCACCCACACACCACAAACATCTGTACACATCTGTACCCGCCAAGTACAGAAGCCCTGCACACCCACACAAGTTCACATATACTCACACCTGCACACACACACATAGCCCCGAACGCGCCCAGCCTCCTGCGGGAGCTGAGCCACACGACCCTCTGACAGAGCCTGGCATCCACGCCCTGTGCCTACCCTCTGTCTTGCCCGACCACTGAGACCTGATTTGCACCTCTGTGACCTGGAGGCTAAAATAAATGGATGTCTGGGTTCTTGATCCAGTGACCCTACCTCAGCAGCTGAAGAATGCCAAGAGGGCTGAGGAGGGGATGTTCCCAAGGCACCCGGTGATTAGCGTCCCTGCCCCAGACCTTGGGGGAGGGGCACACACCTTCACATTCAGGACGATGCGCAAGAAGCGAAGTACGGTCAGTATGTTCACCAGCCGTGTCATGTCCCACAGGGACAGTGGGCCATGCCGCTCGGGCTTCCTAGGAAGACACAGGAGCCATGTTAGGAGGTACAGGGGAGTGGAGGGGCTAGGAGATGAGGCAGCAGGGTGAATGGGCAGCAACAGTCACTGTATGGACAGCAGGCAAGAAAGCTCCCAGCGGGTGGGAGGGAGGCTGAGCCCGACCCACACCCTGCTCACACCTAGTGCCCAAGCAGCCATAACCACAGCTGCACTCACTTCTCAGCACAGCCAAAGCCACAGCCACACCTCCCACAGCTATAGCCATGCCATGGCTCCCAGAACAGCCCCACAGCATGAAGGCAGAAAGGGTATTTACCTCCCAGGTCCCAGACCTGTCAAGCTCAGTTCCTGAAGAACTGATGGGAAGCTTGTCCTAACCCCCAGTCTATTCCCAAACTTTGACCCTGTCCCATCTGGCGACTTCTGACACCATCTCCTGACCTCATCCCCTATCCCATGATCCAGTCCTGTCCCCTCACTGTGTGGCTGTCACTCCACTCCAGCATCCCTGTGGCTTCTCTGTACCCTCATTCCTGACTAAATAGAAGCCATTCTCACCCCGAATGTCACTCCCACAATTCCCAAGATGATGGGACCAAGTCTGAGAGAGGCTTGACTTGCATCAGATCGCTGCTCTCTCATGGCTCCTGCCTGGCACAGGGGTGGGATGTCCTTGCCCATCCCTAAGCCACCCAGCAGGCACCTCAGAGGCAATCCTGCAGGCCAGTGCTGGACCCCCAGCCCTCTAAAGCCTCTCCCAAATGTGTCACTGTCTAAGACAAGGCAGCGCAGCGCTCTGAAGCGGATATAAGCAGCCCTGGGCCTGGGCTAGGCAAGTCTTGGGCCTCAGGAGTCTCTCACAGCAACCTCCTGTGTCACCCTGGCACAGGCAGCCACACCAACAAAGGCCCTGGCAGAAGCCTAGTATCCACTGGCTATGCTAAAGGTCCTGGGTCTCGCCATACAGTAGAATGGGGATTGGCGGGCTCCGTATCTGCCCTAACACCTCAAGAAGCCAGAGCCCCAGGGACACCATTTTACAAAAAGGAAACAGACACCCAGGCAGAAGGGTCGCATCAAGGCCACACGCTGGCAGGCTCCAGCAAGGGCATCTTCCCACACTCCAGCAGAGGGGCCTCATGTCCTACAGTGTCGACGATGGGGGAGAGGGGACACAGCCACGTGTTAGAACACTTTACAGGGAACCCCACCACCGCCCACCAAGCCACTGCCAAGGAGACTGCTTGAAGGAGGAATGGCATCCATTTCCGCGTGTCCCCCTACACGAGGCAGAGTCGGCCCACAGTCCAACAGCCCTACTGGTGGAGTGGGCCACGCCAGTGGCCAGGGACCCCGTGTGGTACTGGAAATCTGTCACCCAGGGGAGTGAGACAGGTCACTGCTCAGGCCGTGTCGCCAGGTTCTCTGCAATCACATACCGTCCTGAGTGCGGCAATGGGTACACGGCCAGAGTGGAAATCTCCAAAACCTGAACCACAGAGAGAGGGGGCATTGTCCAGAGGTGCCAGCCCAGGCGGCACATCCGGCAGCAGAATCCCAAGACCTAAGCCCACCACTTGGGTATGCAGTGGACTCGGAGCTCAGGCCTGGCCTCATGCACCCAGTTGTTGGGACTTACTCCAAGCAAGTGGCAATTCCCAGGGGTACCCTGGGTGGCTGAGAGCTCTGGCTCTCACTGTGAACCAGTGACACTGGAGGGCTATGCCAGGGGCTGCATTAGCTACGGGTAGCTCTGGATCCTGCTGGACCTCCCTCAGGATGAAAAGTGGGGGTCTGGCCCCTGCAGCACTCATATACAGTGGGAACCAAGTTCCTGCAGCCCGTCATGCACTTCAACCCGGGTCCCGTGAGACAGGGTAGTTCACTGTCTGATCTCTCTATACTAGACTATACGCCCAAAGGACCCGGTAGAGCTGCCAGCCAGGCTCACAGAGCCACCAGGAGAGGTGCCCCAGCCTGTGTGGACGTTACCAGCATGATGATGGTGAGGAAGCCATCAAACGCGTTGCTGCGGTTAGACAGGTAGCCCCGCAGGCCCAGTGCGAACACCTTGAGCAGCATCTCCACCAGGTAGTACAAGACAAAGACGTAGTCAAGAATCTGAAGAGACAGAAGAGCCCAGAGCCAGGCTCACTTGATCCATCCCCAGAGCTGGTCCCAGGACACCAAGGCCTCTGGCCAGGGTACCCCATGTCGCCCCACCATCACTACCACCACCTGTCTCCTCTGCTGCCCTTCCGTAACCCCACATCCTGTGCTTAGGGCATCACTGGCATGTCTGCTTCTTGTTCTGTCCTATCTGTGAGGTCCATGCAGACCCTAAGAACGCACATCTGCACCTGACCTAGGCCCCGCCCCCAGCCGACAGGCAACGAAAGGAGGTGGCCCCTTCCCAGGGGAACCTGAGCTTTTGCAGAAGTTTATCCCCAACAGGACAGAGGGCTTGGGGTGGGAGCTCATCGAGGAAGATGGCGTCTCCCAGGTAGGAAACACAAGTAAGTCTTCAAGGGGGTCATGTGGACACACATGCACACAAGCACGCACACAAGCACGCACACACGTGCACACACACACAGAGCGGAAGATCACTGCTCCGGACCCAGCCACGCTGCTACCCCTCACCACTCAGCCCCTGGTAGAGCTGACAGCTTCCCAGACCAGCAGCCCCTAGGCTCACCCCCAGGACAAAGTCATCACGTTCCCCGGGCAGCAGGTCCGAATCCATCACCAGGAACACCTGTAAGCCAGAGCGGAGGACGGCTTACCATGGCGGCCAGCCACAGTTGGGGGGCAGGGGGTTCAAGCAAGAGCAGAGGACGGCTTACCATGGTGGCCAGCCACAGTGTGGGGGTGAAGGGGGTTCAAGCCTGAGCGGAAGATGGCTTACCATGGCGGCCAGCCACAGTTGGGGGCAGGGGGTTCAAGCAAGAGCAGAGGACGGCTTACCATGGCGGCCAGCCACAGTGTGGGGGTGAAGGGGGTTCAAGCCTGAGCGGAGGACGGCTTACCATGGCGGCCAGCCACAGCTGGGGGGCAGGGGGACCCTCCCACAGTACCACAGGGTGAGCCCCCACTCACACAAATAGACAAAAGGTTGCCCAGAGTGACGAGGTTCCCCAGGTAGTCGAAGTAGCGGTGGCTGAAGAGGAACTGGGCCCCCCGCAGAAACGCGGACCGGTACTGGGGTTTCGGCGGGTGCTGTGGAGGGAACCCATACTCTCAGAGGGAAGTGACCTGCCTCTCGTTCTGGAATGACGCATTCCTGACTCACCTCCTGCCCAGCCCTCTCTAGCCTCAGAAGTAATCCCAACCACAGAAACAATTATACACGGCTAACCGCCATGGCCGTCATAGCATACAGCTAGAGTGATCTAAACGTCTACTGACCTGTATGTAAACCCTCCCCATCAGTCATTTGAAATGTATGTTGAGGGCTGGGAAGATGGCTTGGCGGTGAAGAGGACAGGTGGCTTTTCCAGAGGACCCAGATTCAAATTCCCAGTACACACACACAGTGGCTCACAACTACCTATAACTCTAGTCCCAGGTGATACCAGACCTTACGTCCTCTGCAGGCACCAGGCACATGGGAGGTACACAGGAGAAACACCCATGCATACAAAATAAAATAAACCTTGGTCTGGAAAGATGGCTCATCAGGTAAGTGTACTTGCTGTTCCTCCAAAAGGACCCATGTTCAATCCCCAGCACCCACACAGCACCCCACAGGTCCTATAACACCAGTTCCAGGGAATCTGACACCCTCTTCTGCCCTCTGCAGGTACTGTACAAATGTGGCGTAGAGACGGGCATGCAGGCTAAAAAACAATTAAGAGGCTGGAGCGATGGCTCAGCAACTACTGCTTACACGGAGTCCTCTCAGAGAGGACAGGGTCTGACAGGATGGGTCACAAGCCTTGGTAACTGGAGCTCAGAGAGCTCTGATGTCACAGACGCACACACATACACTAATTAAAAATAAATCTGAAAGAATTTTTAATTAAAAAAAGCAAATCTTTAAGACGTTCCTAGAGCTGGCCAACACAGCAGTACACCCAGGTATGCTGTGGCCAGCCAGAGTGGACAGCGGTGGGGGACAGTCTAGTCTCACAAGACCCTGCATTTCCTGAGCTCCGGCGCCTTCCTTTGACACCTCTTCCCCTTGTGTTAGGGCAGCGTGGGTTGGTGGCCCCTGCTGCCACCAGGTGTGGCAATACCACCACACTTTACCAGCGGGTTCCAACGATGAAACCAAACCAGTGACTTCTCCAGTGGCTGGCAAAGACCACACTTGAGGTGACATCTCCATGGTCAAGGCCACCAGAGGGGTGCAGGGGAGAGAGTTCATCGCCAAGAGAGATTTAAATGGAATCCCAAATTTTGCAAACTCCACTCATATCAGGTACAAGAAGATGCCTGCGGCTGCAGAGGATGCTGTCCACATGGAAAATGTCAGAAGACCATGCTGAACAGAGTGACTCCTCTGGGGAGGCAGTCACTGCTTCTCTGAGTCACCACCAACACCAGGCCACTGTGAATACAGCTCCTGTCTGTCAGCATCTAGCCACGTGGTCATCCTGGAACCCTAGAGCTGCAGCCTGACCTGCTGATGTGAGCTTGTGCACAGAGGCTGCCTGCCAGAGACCCCTGAGAGGTCTGCACACCCTGGCCTCTGCTGCAGATAGTGTGGCCCCTATAGCACCCAGTACAGTTGCTCTTGCTTGCCAATGGCCTACAGACCAGCACTGGCTCAGGAAGACCTGAGGTCTGGGCCACCTTCTCCACAGAGAGCTGAGTCCGGCTGGGGAAGGTTCCTTTCTATGTCACCCTTGCTGGGGCACTGCCCCTCAGCCCCAGAGCTCTTCCTTCTCTACAAGTCTTTCCTCACACCTGACACTTCCCTGTAGGAAGGGGGCCCTTGTTTACGCTTCCTCTTCAGTTTCCACCTGACCGGAAGTGCACTAACACCTTGGCCCAGGCATTCAGCATCTCCATCATGTCCAAACTTAGCTGAACAGAACTACACACGCCTGTGCAACTGAGAGCTCAACCAGTCAGGCTCCACGTGACAGAGGCTGTCTCCAGGGAGGGCAGCGAGGGGGTTTTCCATTCTTCTTTCACATCTACAATGAAAGACTTTTGGGAAACTGTCTGGTACTGCTTCTGTACCCACCAGCATGCACTCAGCCCCCTGCCGACAGGCAGGCAGATCATGTTCCCGTCTACACCAGGGCAGCTCTCTGAAGGGGTGGATCCAAAACTGCAGCCTGCCTGGATGTTAGCAACCTCCAAAGAGCTGAACCTCAGGAACCAAGCAAAGTCCTCACTGCACTTCGTTTTGGAGGGAAGAGTGAGGTAACACTGGGGCAAGGATCTGCAGCCCTTCCAGATTCGAACACGTCTCAAAAACCAATCTTAGGCTTCAGATCCTGGACCACCAGAAAGCGCAGGCCACAGAGCACATAAGCAGCTGAGAAAACCAAGCATGGTCATACATGCCTTTAACCTCAGCGCCCACAAGCAGTCAGTGAGTCTCTGGGAGTTTGAGGCCAGCCGAGGCTACAAAGTGAGTTCAAGGACCGCGACGGCTACCTAGGGAGACCCTGTCTCAAAGAATCCACGAAGGAGCTGGGAAGGGGGCCAGAGAAGGGATATGGCTCAAGTGCTAGGCTGCCCCCAGTCCGAGCCTGCTATACTGGGCCTCGGTTGATAGACACAGTCCATGTGTCCTTCCTCTGCAGCACCGTGGCAGGAAGCACCTCCTCGTGACTAGCGTCTGGGAGAAAGTACAAGTCAAGTTTGGCAGCCACTATGCTCCCCAGAGGTTCACAAGCACCAGCCCAGGGAGAACTTGGGCAGCCCGGCAACAAGAATGAGCAAGACCAAGGAACAGAACCCTGATGGAGACTGCTCTCTTGCCCAGGTCTGACTATACCTGGAAAAGGACTGAGCAACACCAAACCTAGCCCATGTGGTTTCTAAGAGCAGCTTCCTGAGGCGGCAGCCCTCCAACCCAGGCTGGGAGCCACCATCTGGAACTGGGCCTCCTAGGCTCTGGCCCTTCGAAGCATATCGCTGCAGCCTGCATCTGACAGCATCTGCTGCCCCCCAAGCCAGGGGAACCCTCTGATACCTCAGTGGTCACCTGGTCCAAGCAGAGGTCCCCCTGCTGGCACATCACTATCATCAGACTCCTGTGCAGCAGTAACATCCCCAAGGAGAACAGTGACAAATGCATTTCTCCAGAAGGCCTGGGAAGGCCTGAGAAAAACCTGACTTTAAGACAACCACCGGTCACGGGGAACTGAGGCCACAGAAGCTGGCAAGCCTCCTGGAACAGCTAAGAGGACGGGCAGAACATTCTCCACGGAATTCCCACAGTCCAGCCCAACCCCACCCCTTCAGAATGCGGTACATTTGCAGGCAGTACCTTTCAAGAGGTGACTGTGTGGAAGTGGGGTGCTGGCGTGGGTCTTACCCACATGGCTACGTCCTTGTAAGAAGACACACACAGAGAGGATGGCCACATGCAGGCACAGAGAAGCCACCATTGGCCAGCCACAGAGAAAGGCCTTGGGGAGGGGCTGGGCCTGTGATGTCTCCATCCCAGGCCTCCAGCTTCCAGGACATTAAATGTCAGCTGCTGTGGCTACAGGGTGTCCTAAGACAGGCTGAGTGACCAAATTACACAGCAGTGGAACTGTCAAGGCTTCAAGCAGCAGGTCACATCCACTCCCACCTCAGCCTGTCCCAGCTCAGGAGCTCATCTGGTCCCCTCAGGGCTGGCTGGCAGGAACAGCAGTCCCCTATGCCTGCCTGGGATACTTGAGCTCTGCCTATATCTCACTCTAGAAACCCACACTGGAACCTGCAGGCATTCTTGTCCTCTGGCTGGGGCTTTAGCGGAAGCCAAGATCCCCATGGGACTGCCCACAAGTGTCAAGAACGAGAGGCAAAGGCTTTGGAGAAAGCCAGCCTTAGAGCTCCCAGGGGAATGGTCAGAGGAGTTGGAGACAGAGAAACACTGAATATTTCTCTGTGTCAGGCTCACTATTTCCCCAAATAGTATATGTCTCCAGCCAACAAATTCACCCCGAATTGCCATGAGCCAAAAGATCCCTGCTCCCAACTCTAGGGACTAGAGATAGAGGGCAGGCAAATCCTGGCAGTGGTCATTAGAAATGTGGGGAAATGAAACTCCACTAGCCCTGGTGACCCCAGGCTGAGGAGGTGGCAAGGCCAGACCTCTTTACCTCTTTGATCACACCTTTGTCAACCTCATCGAAGAGTTTTTGGAACTCATCAGCCAGCATCGGGCGGCCTTCACACAAGTGCACCTTCTGCAGAAGAAAGGCCAGGTCAGCCACTGGGCGTTGGGGGAGGGATGCCTGAGCCCCTCCCGGCCGTGGGTGGTTAGCGCTGGGCTGACCTCCCACCCGACAAGAACTGGGGCAGACCCGGAAAGAGTATCGACCTGCATGATGGCCTGTTTGTGGATTCTGCGCAGCTGGGTTTTCTCAAGCACTCGCAGAAAGTCCTCGGGATTTACCCCAACTCTGTGGCAAAGAAACCCCACCCCAGTGAGCATGCCCAACGCCAGGCCCCCCCAGCCTGAGCTTGGCTATGAATCCACCCTGCTTCATGGAAAAGGAGCCTCTGTGAGCCCATCTAAGATCCCCTGTGACGCCTTCACAGAGGGACAGAGGATTGCTGCCACTGAGCAGTCAAACCCAGAACCTTGACACACCAGTGGCACAACAGAGCTGTCTGCCCTCCTTTCTTTTCCCACCTGGCAGTGTGGGTGTCTGCATTCAATACAAGTGCGCTAATAGGCAAGAGTAAACAAGATAACAGAAGCACTAAGGGCTTGCCGGTTTACACAGCTCCAAATGGAATGTCCAGACTGGCGCCAGCCAGCGGAGACTGCTCAAGAAACCCCTAATGAGCACCCAGCTCCTCTTCCCAGAAGAAAAAGACCATACTGTCCTGGGAAAGGACTGCACCCAACACTCACGCCTCAGGGGTGGCTCCAGCCGGCCCTGCCTTGGAGGCCAGGACTTCATAGGCCGCTCGGACCCCCAGCCGCCGCCGGAACAGCGAGGTCTGTAGAGATTTCTGTAAAGAGGACAGCTCTGAAGAACCAGCTCCGGGAGTTTCCACACACAACTCGATCCCTGCCCACCCTGCTCTGGGGAGAGGGCTACGGGAGAGCCGGGGGAGCTTCCAAGAGAGGCTGTAAAGCAGCCCCTCACTCCTTAGGCATCAGGGGACAGTCACGCCATAACAGGGGACTGTCCTCAAAGGAGGGATTCCAGCCAAGGCAAGGCAGGGATGGTACCAACTGTGACGCGCTATGAAGCCTCCTAATGCCTCGACCCTTTAATGCAGTTCCTCGTGTTGTGGTGACCCCCAACCATAAAATTATTTCATTGCTGCCTCATAACTAACTGTGCTACTGCTATAAATAGTAATGTCTGATATGCAAAATATCCGTTGGTCAACCCTGTAAAAGGGTCCCGACCCACAGGTTGAGAACCACTGCTCCAAGGCCTACAATTCTTCTCTGTGCATTTAGGGGGCAGATCACACACTCCAGGAGTTGCAGTTTCTGAGTAGTTTTCTCTCTCCTGGGTGGAGGGCAAAGAAGGAAACCCTGGGTAGCAATGGCAACACCTGTGCTACTGAAATGACCCGTGGCAGAGACATTGTACCTGAGCTGGTCCATAGCAGGTAGCAACCGGGTTCCCCATCCCACCAGGGTCAGTTGACCCAGGGCCCATTTTGCCTGGCCTCTGAGGTCAGCTCTGGCCCAGCCCAGACACAGGGACACAGGGTGGCTCACCATCAGGTAGCCACGGAACTGATTGTAGATGATGGCCGTCAGCAGGTTCATCAGAAACAAGCTTCCTGTGAAAGGAAAAAAACAAAACAAAAAAAAAAAAAAAAAAAAAACTGACTAGAGGCCAGTGGGACAGAGCCCGCAGCAGCCAGTGACCAAAGCGATCCCCAGGCTCAAAGGTCTCAGGCCACTTGGGCACAGTGGCCAGGAGCGCAGGATGACCAACCACAGTCAAGCTCACAGAATTCCCTTCTGCCTCACAGCAGCGGACACACATAGCCCACAGACTCCAGCATCCTTGTCCACCAATGGAGCGAGGCCAAGCATGCCTAGCCACGGATAGGAGGACAGACAGGGACACTGAGGGAAACATACCACCAGGGGGAGGGCAGAAGGGCAAGCTAGGATGAAGGTGGGGTGGGGAGCAGACTGAGGCAAAGTTACAGGGGGTGTACACACAGGTACAGGATGGGGAACTGAGGTGGAGCTATTGGGGCGGGGTAGGCTGAGATGGAGAAGGGGTCTGAGGTGTTCCGAGGTACTGTGCTGAGGAGAAGGTACAGGGCAGTGAGCTAAGGTGAAGCCACACAGGCAGCATGATGAGGTGAAGGGATAGGGTGGGGAGCAGAGACGAAGCCATAGGTGGACAAGCTGCGATGAAGGAGCAGGCTGAGGTGAGGCTATGGGGGATGGACTGAGGTGACACGATGGGGCACAGGCTGAGGTGAAATTACAGGGAGGGGACACACTGAAAGGCCGGGTTAAGGTCAAAGTCCGGGGGATGAACTGAGGTAACACTGTAAGGTGAAAGCAGGCTAAGGTCGAGGTAAGGGGAGTGTTGCAGGGAAAGTTGCAGGGTGAGGACAGATTGAGGCAAAGTTGCAGAAGCAAGCCGAGGAGAGTTTAGAAAGCTTAGAGCCACTCGTGAGCTCGGGGATCCTGTCACGCACGGGTGAGCACATGCCCAGTGCCACACAGACCCACCTGCACTTACCTATCAAGGTGAAGATTATGAAGAAGAGAGCATAGGCCCGGTTCTGGCTATACGCAGGGATCATCACTGGGACAGAGGAAGAATCCAGATTAAACACGCGGCAGCACCTGGCCCCCTTTCCATCCTGATCTCTCATCACCTGCCTTCACAGGGCAGCAGAGGACTCTCTGTTCAAACTCCAGGCTCAAACACTCACCACCTGGACTAGAGGCTCAGCCCTTCACTGATGGGACCTCCCTGTGACCACAGGCCAAGCCACCCTGCTCTCCCTACAGTGACCGGCTTGGGGTCAGGCTGCACAGCACTTCTGGGATGAAATTCCCAGGCTGCCCTCGGGGAAGGTCTCCAAGGTTGTGAGAAGACCAGAGACTCGGGATAACTGGCACTAGCCACAGTGGCCAGGCCACAGCGGAGCTCAGGACTGCGGCCTTCCCATCCTGGTGCGACCCACACTGGAGTAGCTGGAGGACCTGGCAGCACCCAACTGTAGCCAACTAAGACCAGGGAGCTCTCACTCACTCTCGATGCTCCTGAACGGCATGCACCTCAGGGCAGGCCTGGGTGGTGAGAGGGAGAATGGCTAGGCCCCAAAGAGGCCACCACAGAAACCACTGACCAGTACCACATCATCACAGACCACCATGCACTTTCAGTTTCTCTAGGGAATGAAGTGACAGATAAAGGGAACCAAGAGAGAAGGATTGGAAGGGACCAAGAATGCAAAGGAGTGAAAGGAAATGGGGGGGGGGGCTCCAAGTACTGTATTCCTGTGCTAACGAAAGGGCTTACACTCTCAGGCTAAACTCCGCACCTCAGCATCCCAACCTGCCCTCCCAGTCCAGGTTCACTGCCCCTCCCAGCCCCCACACCCCACACGTACCATCAGGGTTGTTGGAAGTAGTCAGCAGCACTAGGAGTGAGGTCAGTGCCTCTGGAAGGTTCTGGAAGTAGGCCAGCCTCTCCTTGTTTGGTGCTTCATCCTGAGAGCAGATGAGGCAGCCATCTGGACCTCTGTCCCCCAGCTGAGGTCTCAGTCTGATGCAGCTCCCACTCAGACCCACAGCCAAGACCATACACAGGGTAAGGGGTCAGCATCTGACCTGTATTTACCCATTACTGCCCATCAGGCTCTGCACTCCCCACCAGACAGGTCAGAACTCAGGGCCTGCAGGCAAGCAACCAGGCTCCAACCACAGCAGCCTATCAAGAAGCCCAGTGAAAGCCCTGAGCCAGCCCAGCTGAACACAGCAGCCTGGCAGTATAGCAGCCGCAGGAAGGACCAGCCAGCCTCCCCGAAGCCTAACTGTCAGGCGCTGTGTGCATAGTGAGGAAGAGCCAGGGGTCAGGACGGGCAAAGACTGGAAAGTGTGGCCTCAAAGAGGCGGCCACAGGGTACTGGGTATGTCTAGTGAGTGATTTGGTGTGAGACTCCTCAGAGAGGCCTCACTGCTCCAGAAGCAGAGGCCCTTGGTCACTCATGGCACTCAGAGGCCTTACCCACACAACTGTGCCTTACCATAGCAGCCAGCGGGGGTAGCCGTGCCTGGGCTCCCACAGAGGACAGGGTCCTCAAGATCACAGCAGGAAGTCACCCTCAATTACACAATCCTCATCCTGCTCATCCTGGTTCCCCACGGTAGGGCAGAAATCCAGTCTGTAGGGGGAACCTTCCAGTAGCACAGGACATGGGGCAAGGCCGAGGTATGGCCACTGCCAGCCTATACACTGCCTTCCCCGGGCTCTGAGAAAGAGCAGTGACCATAGTCACAGGGCGGCCACACTGAAATCTCAAGGCTGGGGCAGGCAGTCCAGCCCCTGTCCCTGCCGGCCAAGGACATACATACATAGACTCAAGCACTCACTAGACAGTCATGAGACACATCATGGAGACACTTAAACACTGATGTGGAAACACACTGCATAAAGACAGGATAGAGACACAGACATGGAGACACATCCAGATATGAACACAGAGACACACCCAGACACAGATAAATGCACAGACATGTATACTCACACACGGACACAGACACACCCACAGACATGTACACGGAGACCCTCTCACAGACACACAACCCATGGAACACAGTCAGGCGTACACACACGTGTCACAAACTCAGACACACACACACCACAAGTGACTGGGCGTAGAGGACACGGATGTCACAAGAAGTGACAGTGTTGGGAGACCTGTTGGACACAGGCGAGGCGGGGAACACCCACGGTCACACCCTGCACATCCTAAGACACGCACAGACAAGAGTTACATGGAGAGTCGTGCAGCCGCGACAGACACAGGCATGCAGAGACACATGCAGGCACACACAGGACCACCCCAGCACCACGGTTGGAAGGCACCGTCTTGTCTTCCCCCACCCTTGAAGCCTAGCCCCATCATGTCACCTCAGTCTCATGGAAACCAGTGTGAGCACACCAGCCATTAACAGATGCAGATATGTAGGATGGCCCAGGCTGGAGGACAGTGGCCTGCCCTGGACAGAACCCTTGCTCAATGTGAGGAGAGACACACAGCACCTAAAGCTAGACAATCAAGGCAGATGTCCCCACAGATGGACCTGTGGACACCTCCCCATGGCAACAAGATCTGTGGTCAAAGCCTCAGCTGCAGCTGGGCAGGGCGGGGGCCCGGAGTCAGAGGCCAGAACTCAGCCAAGGATTGCCGGGGCCTGCAACAAGCACCAGGAAGGGCAGCCCTGGCAGAGAAACTGAAGAGGAACCTTCAAGTCGCCCTCAGTGAAGAGCCTGTGGTAGAGGGACTTGGAGAAACTAGCACAGAGGACAGAGGCAGACAAAGCCTCGGGCAGTAGGAACACTAGCCATGCAGAAGACAGACCCTGGGCTCAAGAGGAATCATGACCCACTTCCTGGTGTGTCACCGAGTCTACTTCAGAGCAGGCAGGACTAGGGTGTGTGAGCCCCGACTACAGCCAAGGCCGTACTTACCCTCTCGCCGATGGTAAATAGCAGCATCCCGATTATGGTGAAGAGACACAGGTGGCTGGCCAGCATCAGCCCGACTCTGGGAGACAGGATGTTGTCTCAGCATGGCGCAGCACAGGCCACACAACCAAAGAGGCAGGACACCACCCTGCTCAGGCGTGGGCACAGCGTCCCCTCCTCTCCAGAGTATTTTCAGCTCTGGGATAGGGTCCTGAAGCCAGCCTACCCTGCTGGCTCCTCTATCTGTGGTGGGACACAACCGCAGGGGTATGCCAGGGACACAGAGGACAGACAGAGATCGCTTCCATCTTTTTGGGCCAGTTAGGCAGGGAGCACCCAGGTGGCCTACCAGGAAAGGGACTGGAGAGAGAGGGAAGGCATGGCTGACATTTTTACTGGCAGGACCCAAGAGACCTGGAAGGGATCTGGGGAGCTGAAGGACCTAAGAGTTACAGCGTTTCCAGGTCAGCAGAGCTCCACACAGTGTAACAGGAAGCTCAACTAACTGAACTGAACTGAAGATGCAGATGCAAACCAGGGGGAGACAGGAAATGAGGCATGTGCTGAGCTCAGCGATCAGGCATGGTAGGTGCAAATCTGTAGTGTCTGAACAGATCTGACCAGGACCCCAAACACTGCTCACTGCCCCTGCAGAATCCAGAGGGCTGCCCCAACCATACCCACGTAGGAGCAGGCCTATACCCTGGTTCCTCTGACCGAGCTTGCAGCTCCCAGCCCCAGAGCTCACCTGGCCATTTCTGGCAGTGACGACCGTAGACACTTCAGGGTCTTCTTCATCATGGTGGAATTCTGGAGCAGGAAGAAGGGGCGGAGTGCCCGGCGCACCCGCAGGGGCTGGAAGAAACCATCCACTGGACCAGGCCTGTCCACACCTTCCTTCCGGGGATCCCAGAGCCCCGAGGAGGAAGTAGTCCCTGAGAACCACTGCAGCCACCCTGGGCCTGCCAGTCACAGTGCCGACAGCTCTCAGCCTTCCTAGTATCTTGGCCTGGTGCCTCCCCACCCCCTACTCGATACCCTGGGTTCCCCTCCATTGCAGCACCCATCACACTGGAATTATCTTTCCAGCACCTGGCACAAGGGCCCACCAGTACCATGAATGACAGGCTCCCAAGGGACCCTTCTGAGGCTTGCTGGCCTTCCTAGGCTGTGTTCACAAAGAAAGACCCCAGAGCCTGGAACAGACTGGAGGGCAACAAGAACCACAGCAACTAGAAAACTACTCAGGGCTCTGGCCCAACCCCAGATGCCCTGCCTGGCTCTCATGACTGAGCGATCAGTGCCCTTGGCTCCCCAGACCGCCACACACCACCCACAGTGGCAGCCTAGGACTCCAGGGTTCTCCAGCCCTCCTGACAGTCTTAACCGTCCAGGAATGTGGACAACTGCCTCCAGTCGTACAGGGACACAACAGCTACCTATGGTCGTGCTGGTGGCTTGGGCCTAGCCATGCCACAGACTAAGGATGAGAAAAGGTGACCATGAGACCATCTCCTAGGCTGGCCATGTACCACACTGAGAACCACAACACAGATCCCACAGAAGTGGGGGAAGGTCATAACCACCAGGGCCTGGCAGACCTTACCAACCCAGCCATCACGAGGACTTCATTGGGTAGAAACCAAAGCATGCCAGGTGCCTGGTCCTCCCAACCAAGCCACCCAGCACCTGGGGAGTGCTTCAAGAGGGCCTTGCCAGATGAGGAGGTTTTGAGTGACACAGCCACCTAACCAGAGATGGACCTCATGTGACATGACAGCCTTAGGTGGAAAGGTCCCTCAGAGAGGTGGCAGGCATTCCTGCTAACTGGACTTGATTCCTGAGAGCGGAGAGTGTCATGCAAAGAGCTGGAGGACTGGGAACAATGGGTTTGGAGGACATACATGGACAAGTCCCTCCAAACAGGCAGAGTGCTTGGGGCTCAAGCCCTATAAGTGTTTAACCAGCATTTCACCTCAGCAGGCTGTGCAAATGGCCTGAGTCGCTGACCTCAGCTACACGTGACATGACCACCAGGACAGGGGCAATGACACACCACCCAGAAGCAGAGCCCATGTGCCCTTCCCCATGTGGGATCCTGATCTGCCCCTGGACAGACAGCTGTCAGTCATGCTCTGCCCTCCTGTCCATGGCATCTCTCCAAGCACCACCATCCTAGGGCTTGGAAATGACCTCAGCGTGACACCTGCTACTGCAAGTCAGAGGCACCCTCCTGCAATGAGGCGAGCTTCTCTTCTTCCCATCCCTGGCTGTCCTTAACCAAGCAGGACACACCCAAAGGGTAGAGGACAAGCCAGCTCTGCAGCCCCTCCCCTGGAGTCCCAGGTGTCATTACCCATCATCCCTCCAGGCTCCACTAAGTCCTCAGTACCACTGTTAGTCCCTCTTCAATTCCCACCAATGCACCCGCCTTCCCAGCACACCCTAACAGACCCATGAAGGCCAAACCAACCTGTTCCCTGCCTTGCTGCTCATCACCACCTCCCAGGGTTCCGGGTGCTTCTAAGGAAGCACGGCACCGTGATCAGAGCTGTCACGGCAGATGAGGTGAGGCTTGCTCCGTGCTGAGCTCACCCAGGCCCGGGTGTGAAACTCTGGGCACACTGATGCCCTGGGACATTTCTCTTATAAGGGACCTAGCCAGGAGCATCCACTGAACCTGAAGGACAGGGAGTCACAGAGACGTGGACTCTGCTTCCGGGTCCTCTCAACGACAGAACACGACAGGGGAAACCTTAGCCTTCGAGCGACAGTCCCTTTCCTGCTGTGGCAGCAGGATCCCCACAAAGCCCTCCAAGATCCAGACAGCACTGGGCAAACGGACACATGGTCACGGGGCTCAGCTGCACCTGCATGTCACCCCCACAGTGATGTCCCCGTCTCAGAGCTGACACACCACATACCTCCTCACAAGCACGGCTCAGAGAAACAGTCCAGTCCACCGCGGACACAACCAGCACCACAAAGTAGGCCAACAGCCACAGGTTCTGCTGCCACTGGGCCTGCCCCACCAGGTAGCCCTGCAAGAGATGGGAGGGGTGAGTAGGAGCCAGGCAGAGGGGATCAGTCCCCACGCAAGGATGTGGATGACAGAATAGGGTGTTCCAGAAGTCCAGTCCCCATGCACTACTGGTGGGGAGCAGGGGTCGGGAAGCATGCATTCCTGCCGAGGCCTTTAGCGACTCCCTCTGAAACCTCTCTGGTCCGGTTCCTCACTAGTGACAAGAGTCTGTCTGTCTAAGCCACCAATGCGTGCTGAGCAGGAGAGCATTCCGAAAGACAGGACAAACAGGACATACACTGGGTGAACTTGGTAGCCGGTCCCGCCCATCCTGCCCTCTGTTTTTTGTTTTTTGTGTTCTTGTTGTTATTGTTGTTGTTGTTGTTGTTGTTTTGGTTTTTGGTTTTGTTTTTTTATTTTTTTTGGTTTTTCAAGACAGGATTTCTCTGTGTATTCTTGGCTGTCCTTTGTAGACCAGGCTGGCCTCCAGCTCACATAGATCCACCTGCCTCAGCCTCCCTGAGTGCTGGGATTAAGGGTGTGCACCACTAGGCCGGCTTCCATCCTGCCCTCTTGATGTCCCACCATCTTGCCCGTCTCGAGAGGTCACAGCCTAGGGATAAAAACCTTTGATCTCCTTCACCTTGGGAATGTACAGATGCACCAGCCATTCAGACCAGTGAGTACCAAGTTCCCACCAGCTAAAACCCAGAGCTACCCATCGCATCACAGGCAAAGACAAGAGAAATGAGAAACCGCCAAGCCCACAGATACCATTCAGAGACAGACTGGCTAGCATTCAGTCATACTCCTCAGCCCTCACACTCACTTGGGGATGCAGGGCAGATGTCAGTCAGAAGCATCACCCAAGTGAGGCCACAGGAAGCTCGGGGAATCCACGGCCTAGCCCAAAGGCTGGCAAGGCTGACAGACACTCCAGGGAGCCCACAAGCTGCACCGGAAGAGTCACCTCCGTTGCCAGAACAATCTCGCCACCCAGAATCCAGTCAGACATGCAGCCCTGTGCGGGTGAGAGCCACCACCTCCACCACATCTAGCTCCTCTGCTCTTCAGGGATGTGAGGACAGTCAACAGCCCCCAGGCTTCTCCACACCAACGGAACAGTCCTGACTCAGCTTCCACTTGGGGTCGAAAGAAGAGCTGCTGCCCATGCTCCAAGGCCCAGGCCTGGATCAGCAAAACGGCTCCACAAGTAAAGGAACTTGCTTCCTGAGCCTGAAGATCCAACTTTCATTCCCAGACCCCACAGGGTAAATGGAAAGAAATGACTCCTCCAAGTTGTCCTCTGGCCTCCTTCTATGAGCGAGCACATATGCTCGTGTGCATTCGTGTACACACACACACACACACACACACACACACACACACACACAAATAGCACACACACACACACATCAGGCTTTTGTTCAAAGTGGCAAAGCTCACCAGAAACCGTGCAGTGAGAGCTCAGGGCGTCTGGACCGCACCAGGAGCTCTGTGGCAGGGCCTGTGTACAGCCCACCTCACCTTCACAGAGAGGTCAGCCAGGAAGACCAGCATGCAGAGCGCCTCGACTGTTTCGGTCAGGCCACAGGGCGGCTGCCAGGGCTGGGAGCGGTAGCGCACGTCTGCGGTTCTGGTGAATGAAGACGGGACCTCCACAAAAGCCAAGGCCAGGATCAAGAAAATGGTGAAGTCCAGCACTCTGGGAAGGAGACAGTCAGTGGGTGAGTGGACGCTGCCTGTTGGGCCAAGAAGCCAGCTGGCAGGGTGCACTGGGTTCTAGAGGGGATGGAAGGCAGAAGCTAGCATCTCTTGGCTGTGGTACCAGCAGTAGCTTTCTGGCCACAGCTGGCTCCTCCCTGGAGGAAGGACCAAAGGTGCCCAGGAGGACAGGGAGCACACTTAGCCCAAGACAGTACAGGAACGGCTCAACCCCACCAAGCATGCCTGCACAGGTAGGTGTCAGCGCAGTCTTACCGTTGGCACACCTCTGAGTAATACCAGCGGTAAAGCCACAACGAGCCAGCATCCATGCGGTGGTAGATGGAGCGGTACTGGAAACAAAGGGCATGTGAGCATGAGACAGAAGCCACTCATGGAGGAGCGGTTTCTCCACTGCTGTACACACAGGGGCTGGAGTGGGGCTCCCACAGAGCCCCACACATGTGGGTGCGGGAGGGGTCCCCTTAATGCCACATGTGTCTGTGTCCTGACTGTACCACCCATGACTCAATGAGGAGTTCCCATCTCCCCAGAGGCAGGCCCTATCCAGGCTGCTATAGGCAGCCCGTCTGTGTTAGCAAAGAGACGAAGCAGTTCCTCCCTGGGCCTCAGGGTTAGACTAGCACAAGTTGCAGACCTCGCCCAGTGGAGAGAGCTCCCACGGTACAGGCTAAGGCCATGTCTTCTGCATATCTGCTCAGCTCTCTTCTCTTCCATGTAAGGTCAACTCCACTACGTACCCACTCTAGAGATGTCTCCAGGACCTGGACCTAGCACACAGTGGCCATGACAGGCTTCAGTACATGCTAAACCAATGACACCATGATTCCAACACTAAAGAAATGGCCTCCATCAGTGGACAAGGGGAAGGCTGGTTCCCAGTACCCACCACTGGGTCTATCCTAAACAAAGGCGCCCACCCCAGGACGGTAAGGGACAAAGGTACAGGGCAGACTCCCAGTCAGCAGGACAGCCACCACATACCATTATGGCATCTTCAATGAAGACCACAGCCTGGTTTATGCAGAGCTCCTGACTGGCATCAGGGCCTGCGGGTGGAGGGAACACAGCAGGTAAGCAAACATAACAGGACGGCCTCCCCTCTACAGGATGAGCACACGGGAGAAGAAAGCCAGCTCATGCTGTCTGCAGCCAGAGGCCCGCCTCTCCGAAGTGGGTGCCTGTCCAGGCCTGAGTCCCAACCAGGTAAGAAGGCATATGGCATGAGTGGAGGACACCAGGCCCAGAGCAGAGGCAGCTCTACCCCATCGCCACCGCTGCCCAGGCCACAGCATGCACAAGCACATAGAGGCAGCAGGACCCGAGCATCATACTCAGGTCTCAGAGCCTGCCCCATCTCCTGACACAGAAAGGGCAAGTATGGTCACCCTTATCAAGTGGATGCCCTGAGGCAAATGTGGTGTGGGAGCTCATGAGCTCAAGAAAAGGGGCTGCCATCACCACTCTGCTGGCCCACGCCACCTCCACCTTCTGTTCATCCGGCATCCTCCACCGTGAGATGGGGCAACCACTATCCAGTGAACACTTCACACCAATGTGGGGGGCTACAGCTACAACCGAAGGCATCGCTCATACTCTTCAGCCAATGCTAACAACTGCGCTCTCATGCCCCTCCCCTTCCCCTCCTGTGCTGCCCCCCTCCTCAGGACCAGGCCGTTCCCAAACATAAACCCAAGCAGAGGAACTAGGGGACCCACAGCCCCAACAGTTTACATCATGCTTGGAAACAAGGTAAAAAACTCAGCTTCTCAGGAGCTGGAAAGATGGCTCAGAGGTTAAAACCACTGGCTGCTCTTCCAGAGGTCCTGAGTTCAATTCCCAGCAACCACATGGTGGCTCATAACCGTCTATAGTGAGAGATCTGGCACCCTCTTCTGGCAGGCAGGTGTACATGCAGACAGAACATTGTATACATAATAAATAAATAAATCTTTAAAAAAAAAAAAAAAAACTCAGCTTATCTGGTTTTTATAAAATCTGGCCTCGTGGGGCCCACAGGAACCATGTCCTGCTAAGAACAGAGCTGTCATAGCAAGAAGCCCTGAGGCCAGTGCACAACCACAGACCAAGCCCCAAGAGCTGCTTACACAGTATACCCTGTCTCTGAAGAGCCACCTGCTCCAGTTCTTGGAACTCATGCCTAGGGTCACAGACCAGAGGCAGTACCCCCCAGAGGATGACTCGAGATGTACCTCACTCCTGGCTCTGCTCTGGTCATGCTACAACACCTTATCAACCATGACCTCAGTTTCCCCACATAGGTGTTCATAAGGCTTATCCCAAAGACACCTTAAAGGTTCCTCAGAGAGGCTCTGAAGCATGACACAACCAAAACCCAACTGACCCAATGAGAAAGGCAGCTGAGGGCAGGCTCGGAAGCCTTTTTATGCCCTAGAAGGGGCAGACTGGGCCTGGAGCCATGAACCACAAAAAGCTGCTCTGGACTGTCAATAAGGGCTCCAGTCTACCCAGACAAGACACCATAGGTGTGGGTCATCACCCTGGGGCTTTGACACACCCAGGGTCCCTTTTCATCTAGCTTCCTGGCTGCTGGAAGAGTCTGTGTGTAAGAGTCTGGGTCCTGCTACCTGAGCTCACCCAGGTATCAGGTGCCCTCCCACTCACACCAGCATCCTTCACACCCTGCAGTAGCCAGAGAGAGCTTGTCACAACTCTAGGAAGCATGCCATGGGTTTCTAGGGGTCCCTGATGCTCAGGGTCCAAACTCCACCCCATCCTGGCACTTGGGAACTCGCTCTGCCCACCCAGTCCCTCTCCTGCTGCGTCACCACCCTACCCCAGCCATGACACACACTCTGAACTTGACCTTGACAAGGCCTGGCTCTCCAGAGCCTCTAAGCCCTCACCTAAGTTCGTCTACCAGAAAACCTTCCTCCAACGTGAGGGTCCAGAGACTCCCCCAGGGCTACTCACCCTGCTCTGAGTTCATCACTCTAGGTGATCACCCATCCATACCTATAAACCTAACCCATCAGGGCCAGGGGACTTCTGCTGAGCACACAGGGTCAGCGAGAGGCTAAGTGAGGAACAGTAACAGGAGCCCAGACACTGTGTCCCCCACGACACCCACAGACAGGTCTCCCTACCCTCTGCCCCCTGACAGCCAGGTGGAGGCTTGCTCTGCCTCACTGCAGTCTCTACACAATCATTCTAGATCCCTGCCCAGCACGCTGCCTGACCCTGGGCAACGCCCTCACCGGAACAAGACGGAAACCACTCTCTGCATCCTTGGGGGTGGGGAGGGTCAGGTGGGTGTGGTTTAGCAGGACACACTTGCAGGGATCCCTGGGATCCTTGGGGAGGCCTACAACATCAGCTGCCCTCTCTGAGAGTCTGATCACTGGGCAGCCAAACCCAGAGCCTGAAGTGGGAGTGGGAGGATGCTGGTGCGCAGACAGCCTCGTCCGGGAGAGGCAAACACAGAGAGTGTTGTCTGGGCTCCCAACAGCCCTAGCCAAAGCCAGTGTTTGGACAAAGAGCCCCCAGAGTCTCTCATGTGACACTGCCCAGCCTTTAGTTTTGCCTCAACAGAAAAGACTAAACCTGTCCCTTGTCCACCCCGCAGGGCCAGGACTTATATAGACATCATGGCCCTGCTATCCCAGACATCTCTCAGGACCCACACACCAACCTCCACAGAATCTCTCTTTGGATCCTTATGTCCACACCCCATCACCCTGTTACCACACCCTTTTACTGAGACTTGAGCTAAGCAACCTGCCAAAGTCCCACACCCAGAAACTGGCAGCCCCCAGAAAGGTCCCCAGATGCCCCAACCAAAAGCAGCTGTCCCCTGAACCATATGCCCTGGCCCTGTCAAGGGGCCTCAACGCTCAGGAGAGAGGGAGGAGGGATGGGAATGTGGTCACCTCAGCCTCTTACTCCCTCATCTCCTACTAGGGACCTCTGTGGCCTCATTATTCAAGGGAAAAGCAGGTGCTATGGGGAGTCAGGGACCACTGTGCCAACCCAGCCTGCTCCCAAATAGGAGAGGGAAGGAAGTCCAGAAGGGGAAGTTTGAATGGCCAGGCCGGCACACACAGGGCAATACTGGCAGTGACCACACCAAAAGGCAGGGCTGTGACCTTCGGTAGGTCAGAGGTCAGGAGTGTGCTCTCTTTCTCTCTCTCTCTCTCTCTGCCTCAGTTTCCTTATCTGGAAAATGAGACAAACTCTCCTCTGTGTCCGTGTGTGTGTGTGTGTGTGTGTGTGTGTGTGCGCGCGTGCGTGCGCGCACGCGCGCACGCCTCAGTTTCCTCATCTAGAAAATGAGTCAGTCTCTCTGCCTCTGTTTCCTTATCTGGAAAATGAGACACACTCTGTCTCTCCTCTGTGTCTCTGTCTCTGTCTGCCTGTCTCTGTCTCTCTCTCTGTGCCTGTTTCCTCATCTGGAAAATAAGTCAGTCTCCATCTGCCTCAGCTTCCTCATGTGGAAAATGAGACCAAGATCCTTGTGCCTCTCAGTTAGCACCCTTTAGGAGATGGCTAGAAAGCTGACTCCATGCTCCCTGGGTTCAGGAATGTCCCTGACCAAGGAAACAAAGAGCAGGAAAGAAAGGATAATGTCCCGAAGCACTTAAGGGAACAAGGAAGCAAACCACCCTGGCCTCGGGACTCCAGCTTCAGCCCCTAGCAGCCAGAACAGCGTTCCGAAGTCACTCCCAAAGATCTTCAGCCACTTACTGCCTGGGGACCATGGTGGGAGAACGCCTCTCTCTCTATGCCTGTTTCCCCTTGAGGAAGAAACTGGAGAGGCGATGCTGCAACCCCAGCCCTTGGGAGGCGGAGGCAAAGGGGATCTGGAGTTCAAAGCCAGCCAGGCTACCTGAGGCCCTATCTCAAAAAGTCAGGCGAAAATAAATAAATAAAAGTAAAAATGAAAGTGCCACCTCACTCACCAGAGTGTGCCTGGCCACCGCCTCGGTCCCGACCCAGCAGGGACTGCGCTTCGGACGCCATCCCACCTGCAACACCGGCTGGATTCGGTCCCAGCAGCTAGAGTCCCGCGTACCAGAGAAGGAGCGGCCGACAGCCAATGAGAACGAAGGGATCAAGCTGGAAGGCGGAAGCAACAAGCCCCGCCTCCAGGGGGTGGAGCTCCGCCTCTTTCCGGCTAGCGGGGGCAGAAGGTGGGAAGCTGGGCTCCTAGGAAGTTTTTTGACCAGCGCCAAACTGCTACTATATCCTTCCAGCCCTAGGAATGTCAAAGTCCAGGGGCTGGACCCAGGAATCTCTTGTGGTCTTGTTTGTTTGTTTTTAATTTCTAGGACCTTTATAACACGCCAAGCAAGCTCTCAAACCCTAGCTATACCCGGAGCCCAGAAGTGTTTAAGCAAGTATTTCGCATGGCTCTGACTCATGTGAGTATTGTGTAATAGGGCATGACCACAAAGGCCATCCCCCAACAAAAATGGAATTTGAGTTTCTCCTCTGGGAATTAAGAAATCTAGGTATGATTAAGGGTAAAATTTAAGAACGTGAAACGGGGCGTGTCGCTGCACACAGCTGGAATCCCAGTACCCCAGCAATAGAGATATGAGGATTGATGCCAGTTCCAGAACAGCCCGCTAGTTCCGGGAGAGAGACAGACACAGAAAGAGAGACAGCTATTATCTATTGCCAGTCAGTCAGTCTTGGAGGTCAAAAGTCCAAAGACAGGACTAACTCTTCCGGCTTCAGAAGGCTGAAAACCAAGTATGGCCACTCTGCTGGGATATTATTATTATTATTATTATTATTATTATTATTATTATTGTGTGTATGTCTGTGGTATGTGTGTATGTATATGTCTGTGCATGTGTGTACAAGGGCAGGCATGGTCCTACATTCCAATGTAGGTCAGAGGTCAACTCTCAGGAATCAGCTCTCTCCTTTCACTGTGGGTTTCAGGGCTTGAACTCAGGCTGTCAGGCTTGCGCGGCACGGCAAGCACCTTTCAGCACGGAACCCTGTCTTCAGCTATATTGTGGGATAGTCTTTAAGGGACTTTGAGAAAAATCCACCTTGGACTCATTCAGGAGACAGGCTGAGTTAATTTCCTTGAAGCTTGGACTGATCCATGCTCGCTTTCTGGATGTATTCCTGGGGTGGCTCCCAGCTCCTGGGGTCACCATATCCCTCCTGTGCGGGCCCCTTCTTCGCGTCTGGCAATCACAGATTGAATCCTCAAGTTTCAAATATGCCGCCGTCTCCACGCTTGACGCAAGACCTTACCCCTCTCTGCCTCCCCCCTTTGCTCATCTCTGCAGGTTTGTTTCCTGGGGAGGACAGGTAAGAAACAAATCAACCAGGAGGTAATTGTGCATGCATTTAATCGCAGCACTCAAGAGGCAGAGAAACTGTCTCAAAAAAAAACAAAAGAAAAAGAAAAAGACACATAAGTCATAAAGCTTTCCATGTCCAAGTCCACAGCAGCAGTGTGGAGCCATTCACAGTACTGAACAGGGATCAGCCCATTGTCTCAAACCACATTCATCTCAAGATACTGAAACTATCCTGTTCTCAGACTGACAACAATTTGTAGTTTAACCAAATTTATGCATCTTGCTGAGTAGCCCAGGCTGACCTTAAACTTAGCGTCTTCCTGCCTGGATCCAGGATAATCTCTGTCTCTTTAAAATTTATTTATTTATCCATTTTGATGTGTGTGTGTGTGTGTGTGTGTGTGTGTGTATGATTTCTTTAAACCATCTAATTTGAGCAAGATCACGAGTAAAAATATTCTCCAGTCCAGGCTAGTGAGGTAGTTCAGCAGGTGAAGGAGCTTGCTACCAAGCCTGATCCCAGAACCCACCTATGATATGGTAGAAGGAGATAACCAATTCCTGAGAGTTGTCTTTAACCTTTTCTCACACACACGAGGGCCCAGATGTGCACAAAGGAAATAAATCCAATACAGTTTTAGAAATCAAATTTTCTGGGGGCTGGAGAGATGTCTCGGTCGCTAAGAGCACTTGTTCTTTCAGAGGGCCTGGGCTCCAAGCACTTAGCTCTCCATTCATGACCATTTGTAAGCCCAGTTCCAAGGGATCCAACACCCCCATCTGACCTCCAAGGGAATCACACACATGGAGGCACAACATTCAGACACAGAAGATGAAGCGGAGTTTAAAGATGAAACGTTCCATCAATAGGACGGAACAGTGGCCCCAAAGCTCAGAGAGAGGAAAAAAAAGATGTCACCCACAGGCCGGGCCTGTAGCTCAGTAGTAGAGCATTTGCCCGTCATGAATAAGCCCTTGGGTTTGAAACCAGCAAAGGCCCCAATATACACATACACAGAAGACACAGCTCTGTCTCATTAGAACTCACTAGAATACAGAGATGCAAATTAGCTTTACAGAGCTTGTCAGTCAGAAGACATGAGATGATTCCGTTCTAGAAGTTTTCCCAGGGAGGGGCAGATCCCCAGCAGCCATGTCCTCATGGGGACCTGACCATTTCTATGTGTGACTCCGCTAGCCCTGCTATGTCCTTAGACACCCCGGGGCAGTGTTGGCCACATGGTTAGGCCAGGGACTGTCTACTCTCTGGATGCCCAATGGTGCCTTACAACACAAGTCAGTTCTGACACCGTTTACCCGTAGCTAGCGTAGACTCCACAAGCTAAGCCTCAGTCACAAAAAAACTGTCCCATTTCACATGCTAAGAGCAAGCCTGGGGCCTCCTGGACTTTGGTTATAAACAGAGGGTGCCCAAAATCCATTCTCAAGTTTAAAAAAAAAAAAAAAAAGCTAGAATGACTCACAGACTTGTGGAAGACATTTCTACTACTAGTTTAAGTTATTTAGCTACATGTTTGTGGCATATATGCGCACCTGAGTGCAGTGCCTGAGGAGGCCAGCAGAGGGCATCAGACCACCAGAAGAGGACATCAGATCCCCTCAGACAGGAGTTACATTTGTGAGATAGCCCATAGGGGTGCTGGAACTGAACTCCAGTCTTTTTCTTCTGCAAGAGCAGTGTTAGCGATCAGGCACCTCCACCGCCAGCTCCAGGGACTCAGCCACAGCAGGATACATCTTCACTAGGCACCGAGATGTGACACTTTCACCCTGAAGCCATAAACTGCATATCCCCCATGGGCATGTGCCAAACCCCCTACAAAAGGACCTGTAACCCTTCACACACACCCTTTCCCTTCCACCCTCAGGAAGAGACCCCCCCCCGTATCTCGCCCTTTAATAAACGTCCCACATGAGATCTGTCGCATAGTGTGATTCTATGATGACCCCCATATAGATTGTAAAAGCAGGAAGTGTCTTAACCACTGAGCTATCACTCCAACTCTTAACTGTTGAAAGGAAGAGGTGGTTAGGACCTGGGCTGGCAGGGGTCTCCGTGCTTTCTCTGAGAAGGCATCACCTTCCTGACGCTTCCAGGGTTTCCTGATCAAGCTAGAAGGTATCTGTGCCTGCTGTTCAGGATTTTTTGTAAGGTTTCATTAAATAAAGCTAATAATTGGATCTTGGCCATGATGACTGAAGCCTGAAGTCATCAGGCTAGTCCCTCCGGCGATCACAGCCTGCCCTCCAGGAGTCCCCTCATTAGCATAAAGCCTGGGATGATGGAAGGGGCTTAGTATAAATAACAAAGCCCGCTCCCTCCCTTTCATTAAACGGGAGGGGTGTTAGAAGCCAAGAACGAGATTAACAGGAGACAGATACATTCTTTCATTATGTCATGGTTCTGCACAGCTCCTCTGGGGAAGTTTTCTTCCACTCTTCTTCGGTGCTGGCCGGCTCTACAGAGCCCCTTCTGGATTGTCTGCTGAAGGCCTGCCGTCTCTTTCCAAGCGGTTCCCGATGAGGCAGCCGGCTCTTCAGAACGAGCCGCAGGACAGAGCTGTAGCTGTCCATAGCCCAATCAGAGAAGCAACAGCCATCACTCTCGCTGCTGTCCTATGCATTAGATTCAAGTCACCAGTTTCTGAGCCACATCCCGTCCACCCTTAAGGGATACAATCACTGGGGCCTGGAGTGTAAGAGATTTCATTTATCAGTCTTTTCTATCAAATACTATAAAACTTGTGTTTAAGACATGGAATTAATGGGAGGCAGAAAGCAGGTGAATTTCTGTGAGTTCAAGGCCAGCCTTGGTCTATGGAGTTCCTGGACAGCCAGGGCTGTTACACAGAGAAAATCTGTCAAACAAACAAAAAAAAAAGAGAGAGAGAGAGAGAGAGAGAATTAAAAGCTTCTTATTTTCCCCCACCCTGTGAGACTTTCATGCAAATATTTTAATCCTCCCCACCTAGTAAAAGGTTTGTTTACACAAAAGCTGACTGCTTTGTTGCGGGAATTTGCTGGTCTGGAGCAGTGACCCCTCTCCCCTTCCTTCATTTCCTGTGCACCACTTCTCAGACTAGCCAATTGAGTAAGATCATGAGGTTGGACTCTAGCCAGTGGCGAAGACAGCCGCCACCTGAGTTAGAGTAAAATCCAGATGCACTTCTCTGTGGGTTTCTCGTCCCTCTAGGTGGAGGGGCAGGCCTGCCTTGTCCAGGCACTTCCGTTGGGATGGTAGTCTTTTTTCTTTGTGACTCCAAACATAATTTCTTCATTCTTTTTTTTTCTTTTGTTTTGTTTTGTTTTGTTTTGTTTTGTTTTGTTTTGTTTTGTTTTGTTTCAAGACAGGGTTTCTCTGTGTAGCTCTAGTTGTCCTGGAACTCACTCTAAGGTCTAGGCTGGCCTCAAACTCTGAGATCCACCTGCCTCTGCTTCCCAAGTGCTGGGATCAAAGGTGTATGTCACCATGCCCAGCCTGTGAACATATTTCTAACATGGGGGTCCTTGGGAATTGTCTTAGTCTGTGTTAATAACTGAGTGAAGCTGAAGAAAGAAAAAAGGTTAGGGGTTGGGGATTCAGCTCAGTGGTAGAGTGCCTGCCTAGGAAACTTACTCCTGAATTGCTGATGAGAAAACCCAGACTGGAGGGGCTAATAAAAGATACCCTCCCAAGGCTGGATCATCGAATGTACTGGAACAGTCCCGGCCTACCTCACTGAGTCCACAGCCACA